CTACAGGGGTTCGGTCAAATAGACCAAGATACCTGCCAGCGGACCTCCTTACGGTGTCATGGGAGTTGAGACGTCCCATGGTGCTCATAGGGCCAGTCGATTGACCACCTGCGTCTATCTGTGGGTTGGATAGCCAAGTGCCCGTACGAGCGTACCATTGCAGCATCTGCTACACAAGCGTGGTTACAGCGGAGCAGCACAAATGCGAAGCATCAGGAAACTATTCAGAGGCTTTATATTACCAGAATCTAGACAGATCATCACAGGCTTGTGTACAGGTCGTCCGCTGCGCCCACTCTCCGGCTCTTACCCAAGCAATCTCGACCGGCATCGTGTTCGATGGCAGAAGAAGTCGGCTGCACGTCGAATTTGTGCTGTAACAGTCCAGTCAGCACTGGCTATTGTATCAGATCTCATCGAACCTCGTTGCTTGGAATGATCAAGAGCCTACCAGCTGAGTGTATGTTGATCCACAGGACATATTGCATGTACCTGCGATACGAGTTCCAAACAGAGTTATCGGTAGAAAGGCGAAGCCAAGGTTCGGTAACAACCACGCGCACTCTACCTTGTACTTAGGTAGAGGAATTACTGCACAAGCGTGGGAATGCGTCTCACCTGGAGTTACACCCACAGCTTTGTGTGGTTAAGATTGTTGACCAATCAGAGTATATATGTGTTTCAGATTATGCGGCCCTTTAGCGACCACCTCGTATGACGCGATCTTGATAGCGGGGGTAAACGTCTCTTTGTTTTAGGTTGCAGGCGTTCATTGGGTCTCGCGCATCACCTTGTGAGGTGGGGCAAGATACGCACCTGTTCCATCTTGCGCGCTTTTCTATCTGCAATAGCAGACTGCTTTAGCTAAAAGAGTAGGCCGCACGGTGGTAGGTGTCCGCCGCTATATAAGACACGATGCTCTACGTTTGTGAAATCGCAAAGCAATCAGCAAGTCTGTTTCTTGCGAAATCTGCTGTGATGTTCCTCGCCATCCCTCCAGTTCGGGCGGAAAACCAAAAACGCTAGACGGTCACAGGCTCGGATCATGGTCGATCGTGGTTGGTCGGCCTTTCGAGCTAATGGTCAATTGCCTTGGCGTCGAGTCTCGAGCAACGTGATAGGCAGTTGTACAAAGCTTAATCAAATATAGTCTATGAGGATCGATGTGAACCTCTGGCTGGCAACTCTTCACACGATGTCAGCTCTATGGTGTTGAGGACATGGCATCATTCCGACAGCTTGTGAGCAAGCCTTTTCTCGGGTGACCTTGACTGCAAAGGTTCACATGCCTTTTGCGTTGCCTTTTGCGTTCATGGAGCCCACGTATTTGCACAAGGAAAAATGCATGTTTGCGAGTCTCGCACATCATCCCCTGTACATTCTGTGGGTGGCCAACACCTGCACTTCCTTCTTGGCAACTGTCGAATAAGTCTCCCGTGATCCTGCCGCCACATGTTTCGAAAACAGAACTGGCTTACAGACTGCACAGTACTGAACCCCACTCATTGAAGCGCCAACCTGGAGTTTCTCTAGATATCCCATCCCATGCCATGTCACCCAAATTGAAGTCTGGAATAAAACACAAGCGATTGCCACGTGCTTGCCAACCCCTTACACGCAAAGAAAAGGACGCTAAGAAGTATTACAAGTCATATCGCCGCCGGCGCAAATGTCTGGGGAATAAAGGCTTTGAATTGAGTACGCGCTGTAAAGCACAGGTCTTTGTGCTGGTTAAGGATAAGGATAGTAGATGCTCCTATTTCTAGAGCTCAGAAAACTTATCTAGTATCTGGCCCCTAAGTGGCATAGCACTGGTCAGTAGCTTACTCATCCCTTCTAGGAGTGATGGCACTGACGACACTGTAGGCAGCTGATATTAATGCTAAAGAGATTCCTTTAAAGAATGGAGACTCTAGTACACGCTAAACCTAAAGACAAGCCCTTGGGACAAGAAATATTGTAGTTGAGGACCACTTGCATAAAAGCTTAGATGATGATACAGCCCTTGATAGCAATACCACGACCTCAGCTAGTTATGCTTACATCACCGAGTCCACCACAATAATATCTTAATCCCAGCAGGTGAAATCTTTCTTGGGTCACTTCTAGTAGTTCAGCTCCCAGCAAGCAGCCATGTGGTGTAGTGTCAGGAGTGTGATTACAGGCTTAGAACAATAGACTGAGATCAATTCCGTTAAATCCTTGCCCAGTATAGACTGGTTGCTCTCGCGAGGTCTACTTAAATTGGCTAATTTATTAAACACTATGTCTCCTCCTCAAGCCCCACAAATATCCGCTTTCCAACGCTTTCCTTTTTATATTAATCCCTAAATAATGCCTAGGCAGCTAAACACCACCATGAAGCTTTTTAGGCACAGAAGAGGCTGTGTAGCCCTGTGTGAGAGGTACAGGCTCATACTCAGTGGAATCAATAAACAAGACCATGTAGTAGAATTCATGGAGTCACCAAGATAGGAGCCAGCAGAAGGAGCACCTGAAACACCACTGGCGTTGTGAGTACCGAGAATAGTCGTCACTAACGTTAGTGTCACATTTTCAAGGCATCCTGTACTCGCGGTTTACTTGAGTAGGCTCATACTGTTAGAGGCTAACCAGTCTGTAGGACTAATTACTGAAGCTGTTGCATCTAGAGCTATAGATGTTACTCTCAGCACCACCTGAAGATCAGAATATACCTCCTATTGGGGTAATTAGGGCAGTACATAGGGTTGTAGTTGTAAGTGAGCTTAGTGTACCCCACTTGAACTAATAGTCACCAAGAGTGATGCCTCCTACCTAGGGCAAAGGAGTTTAGTTTGTACTTTCTGTTATTAGATCAAGCCATGGGGCAGTTAGAAGCTAACAATTATATAGATAACACTGTGATGCTGGACCACTAGATGGACCAAAGAATAACCTGCAAGTATATCATTGTGAAAATCTCTGGTGGGTAGTCTAAAGGTAACAGCACACCTGTTACAGTCTTTAAACATAATATTGCACCTATAGATAGTAGTGGACTGTTCATAATCACCACACAGTTTTTAATAGTTTATACAATAGTTCATAAAAGTGGTTTACATGTCTTTCCTGAGGGCCCTTATCTGGCCGGCTATATAAGTGATATCAGTCTAATAACCCTGTGTAAAGTCTACTAGCCATGGCCGAGAACAGTGGGAAATGTACTAAGGTGGAGGAGCCTGATAGCACCGAAGTTATAAATTCGCTGAATGATGTGGATACAGAGAAGAAGCTTGTTGATAAAGCCAACAAGAAGACAAAAGACAGGTCGGATGTTGCCATTCCCTCCACAGAGCAGGCTAATAATATTAATGACAACTCTGAACCGGTACCTCTTGTACCAGAAGAAGGGAGTGCTAAGCTGTTCCTGGGAGTGCCATGCACAACGGTCACAAAACGGTGTAAGAAGGGTAATAGTAACCCAGCGCCTCTTTACCTTAACCGGTATGGACTATAAGCTGTAGGATGGTTTGTCTGGAGCACCACGCTAGCAAATCTAGCTGGCCGATCAATAGATGACCTTCAGAACGTCAGTGAAAAGTTCCATCAAGTTTTGGATCAACCCCTGGAACAAGGTATGCCATGATACCATGCTACAGATGTTTCCGGTATACTGAACCTTGTGTGGGATTGCGAAGGTCTTCAGGAAAGGCCAATAGAAGCAGCCAAGCTTCTCAATCCTGACAAGGTTAAAAACGCCGATAAATTGAGAACTTCTAGGGTAAGTAATTATTACTCCTTACGAGTTTCCCAATGGATAGAAACTTACCCACGGAACTTTCATTCTCCGTAGTCCCTGAGTGGCCAGATAAATTTCCCGTGACCGCAGTGGAAAGGGATTTTATACTGCTGCCACGGCCTATGGTCAATATTATCCTGATTGAAAACCTCAAGAGCCCCTTCAGGAAAAGCCGCATGGGAGGCTACATCGTTAGATATAACTTTAGATGGTAGACAGAACTTACGGCTAGACCTCGAATACCATTTCAGCCATTTAAAGAATCCAAAGAATTGCTGCTTCTTCACGTATCCCTGATAAGACTCTTCTAGGCGATCATAGAGATAAAACAACCTAGCATCGCAGGGACAACAATCCTGGTAGACGCCGGCTGGAAGATTGTGTCGTTCACAACCATCACGTTCTAGACGTGCATACTCCTCGTTCAATGTTCGAATACGGACTCGGATGTAGAGGTATAGAATTCCAGAGAATGGGTCTTTAAGCATCATTTTGTGGCTATACTATCAAGTTGAAGATGCAAGTCTTTCCACCATCGTGGCACAGCCAAGTACTACTTAGGACATGCTTGGATATGTATCATCATTACTGCCACAGCTTTTGCAACTGTACTGTGGAATTGCGCCGTCGCAGTCTCGATCGGCCCACCCTCAGAAGACGCGGTAGACACCTTACGCTGACGCCGATACCGTGACACATTGCGGTAGTCTTGGCAAGCTTGCCGCCGATGCCTCAGCAGGTCAGTGGCAGACGGCTTCACGTAGAGCACGGCGGGCGTGGCACGGAAGACCGGTCACCATAAACTGGAGCCACAACAAGGAAAGAATGTTGAAATGCCACCTGATTCAGTGGCCCTGCTGAGAGGGTGTGGTGCACCTACCGCGGTGGCCATGGACGACGGTCAGTCGACCGCAGAGTGCCCTGTCGGCACGGCTACAGCGCCTGAGCGAACGTACCAAAACCGTGTGACAAGACGAAGGGGATGTGGCCCACTGAATCTTGGGTCATCCACTAGATCTCGTTAACCACGTCCCGTTGCTACTCACCCAAAGCTGCTGCAGGATCCCAACGGGTTGACGTCAGCCTCCGTTTCTGATAGAATGAAGGGGCTGCCAAGGCTATTTGTAGTCAAAGCTAGTCGTAGTCTCATCTTCTTTTGTGTTGACTCTCTTTCTTCTTCCTCGACATTCCCTCATACTGCTCCAGTTCGTACTGTTAAGCGAGGAACGCTGTGGCTACAATGAAAGACGGAACATTGGTCAAAAGGCGGGCACGGCAAGCTCGCCTGCGTGAAGACCGTAGTTTCCACATCTGGGCTGCAACTGCCACCGCAGACCTCGTTCAGAAGCCGGTCCGGCCCTTGACCAGTGCAGCCTATGATCGCATGCTGCAAGAATGGGATCTGTCCGTGGTGAGACTAGAGTCTGGCTGAATTGCCCACTGACAGGTGGGGCAGGTTCGCATTAAATTTTGACGGCAACGCCTCGCCACTGGACGTGACGACGCTGAAGACGTTCCTAAAGTGGTATGCGGATGGAAGGAAAGGGCGCCTACCCGCTCCCTCCTCAGATACGGATAAGATCCAGCGTATCACACAGGATTTGATGTACACCTGCTGGAAGAGCTTTATGTTGGTGTGGCATTGACGTATGGGAGACATCTTCTCCAAGAGTATTTAGAACACCATCAAGACGGTCAGTGTTGGACAGACCTCACCTCACCTAACATATGAGACGCTGACTGTGGCATAGTTGATTTATGGTGGAGATAATAACTGGCTGAATCTGTGCACTACACGTCGGCCCACGCGTAACTTCACCCTGACTGACTTCCAGGCCTGTGTGTGGCAGCTATGGCAGAACGACTGGTATAACTTTCGCTGCGAGGTATATCGGGTTGGGCTGCACCTGATGATGCTGTTACATATTGGAACGTTAGCTTGGTCGGCTGAATATGTGATGAATCTGCGATATCGTGTCAGTAGTCTCCTCTTGAAACTGCAGATCCGTATTGTACTAACCATTCAGGATACGCTTCTGTACCAAGTCTGGTTCGAAGACTGTTCACAGCCGCAGCTGGTGATTGATCTGTGTCGCAATCACACCAAAGGACTCGCCAACTTACCTCGCCAACAGTTAGTCAGCCTCGGCCATACATGCGCGGCGATGCTGACGATTCCAGGCCAGAACACCTCCTCTATGAGTTGGTCAACCTGCCATTTTACTACAACACTATTGCGTTTTTCATGGTGGGAGTTCTGGCTGTACGAGGGTTGCGCCACTTTAATAGCTGGTCTGATATCTATGTAGTGACCCAGCCCCTAGAACGCAACTTCCTCTGTTTGAACTACACAGAGGATGTGCTTGACCAACATATCTTCGCCTGATGTAGCGTAACGTCCGGCGATGAAACCAAACCAGCGACCTTGCTTGTTGAGGCTCTTGGACTTCTCGGCTAGTGGACGGGGTTTCGCGACTGGCTGACCCCTGGCGCTATCTGTTGGGAGGCACTCTTACAAGTGGATTGTAAGTTGGTGGATGTTGCCATGAGAAGGCCTGTCACTAATGTTTGTAGGTCGTGGCTATTCCATTAACAAGTAGATGCGGCATGTAGATTATTGGAATGCTAACACATACAGCGGCTACTATTAGAATGCTATTTCCACCGTTAATGGACAAGCTACTTACTTTGGACTCAAGCATCAACAACTGCCTGAGCTGCACGAACTCTTCCGTGGCTACTCTATCCACCGCGACTACTAATTTCAACCAGAAGTACCCTTACGGCTGAAACATTAAATGGTTGAAATTGAATCAGCACCTCAGGACGACAGTGGCACGGTTGATTGGCAAGCGCGTTAGAAGATATATGGTGATTGTTGTTAGCAGTAAGACTCCCTACTTTGTACTGATCGTTGTGATGGAATTAAAGAGGCAAGTGGACTGGACCACTATGCTTATGAGTCTGACTTTTAATAAGCCTGACGTTTAATGCCTGAGCGAGATTAATTAGCTAACAGCCTCTTTTAGACAGGATCCTTGAGAGATGCCGAGGGTATTCTGCTGATGAATGATTTGGTGACAATCTACTCCTCTCAGAACTCTGGCATATACTGCGTTGAGCTTAACAAGTCATCCTCCTACTGTGACACTTGCGGTGCAACTCGTTCTGAAATCAAGAACCAGGAGTGGTGGCGCCACGTCTACCACTGCCGCAAGTAAAGATCTGAGAATATTGGTGGCTATTCTGAGTTCTGCTTTCTTTGCTTCCTATGGATTAACTATGTGGACGCGTGGCAAGAGCATACTAAACAGCACAGTCAGAATATGCCTCTCAAATGCAGCCTGGCCATGTTTTACGGCACAGTTCTGCGGCCGGCATGGTGTCTAGATTGCATCAGTAAGACTGGAACGGCTGGTGAAGGTGCTAAAGAATTGACACAGTTTCTTAATGTTACCGCTTGGAAAGCTTATGTGGACGAGCATATCCATGGACTGTGACTGGGACAGTATAGGTGTGCCCATCTGCGCTGTACGGAGTTGTTGGAGTTCTCGTTAATGGCCGACTATCTTGCCCATCAGTCTGATATCCACCTGATTCCTCCGCTGGATGTTACAGTTAGAGGCGCAATTGGAGGAGTCAAGAGAAGGCATGCTGGTGCTGCTGTCCATGAGGCAAGCTCTACTGCAAAACGCTCTCAGCTTAGCCGTAGCAGGTCATCGTCATGCAGTTCAGCTTGGACAGCCTCCGAAGAAAGTCCCACGCCATCAATCACTGACTCATTTCCTGAACCATCATCGCCACGTCCTGGTCGAGAAGAACATGATTTGACGAAAGAAGGCGATAGCAATGGCAGTTACGGAGAGGCGGGTGCCCCTTTGACTGTGAACAATGCGCCTCCAACAGCACTGGACAGACTTGCATCTTCCTCGCCGTCGGCGTCGTCGTCATCTTTGCGCGGAAAGCCTCAATCGCCTGAGTACGTGCAAAAGCAATACGATCGACGCCAGGCAGGCTTGCTGGGGGAGCGGTCCAGAAGTGCCAAGCTCAGACCCACGACCATTGAGATACTCATCCCAGACAGGCCGCCAGGATGGGATGATGTGCCACTTATACACAGCGTTTAGAGGTCTGATGATGGAGGAGACGAGCACAGCACCTGCAAGCAAGTCCCTCCACTCAAGAACTTGGCTGAGCCCCAGGCAGATGATGGTGCGCGTCTCTTGAATCAATCTACTTATTACTTACCGCACAGGAGGAGGTCAAAGAAGATACATCTCGACATGGCGGCAATTACAAGTAGCGGGAGCAGGAAATATGCAGGGTCTTCTGAAGTCTTCGCCCAAAGGAGGAATGCGATTTCTGAAATGCATGCTTGAATTCGAGAGCGTCACAAGTCGCATCTGAAACAGGCTGCAGTATTGTCTAGGTAAATCGCTGTCGCTGCCTTATGTACTGTACTGTGACAAATCTCCCGGATAGGTAGAATCGTCCTTAGCATGACTTAGCATGGAATCCATCGATTCAGCGGTCTTTGTTCATAGATTCGCCACAATATCGTCAATGGTGGGCTCATGGTTAAGTGTTTTATTGTCGAGTCAGGCCACCTGAGCCAATGATTGTGTGATCATCTCACGACATACAGTATCAATCCTGCTCAGCAAAATAGTGAAGATGACAATCACTCGGTGCGGTATTGGCGCTTGTTCGCTTGAGGTTGAAAAAGCTGGCTCTCGAGGGCGCGCCCTCTGACCCCGACAGCACACCACAACAGTCTGTGGATGATTCCATCGACCAATAGACAAGGATATTTGCGTTTCAGGATACTATATGCCGCCAGATGTCGGCCATTTCTACACCTCGTAGAATAATGGGAGATACATATGAGGTGAGGTACATGAAGATCATCTCTAGACACCTCCACATATTAGTGGGTGGAAGCTTGTATTGTGATTGGCTAGGTGATCTATTCATTGCCTCCCACAGCATTACGAGGTACTCTATACAGAAGGTGGCCTGCCGACGGTCGCATCATCTAAAACGTAGACTAACAGCATGATTGGCCAACATTTTTGACCACGAAGTGTCGTGGTGTACCCAGGGTTAGAGGGATTCCCTACTGCGTTACGATCCTCAATCTCTATTGCGATTACTCTCGATGTTAAACACGTGATCGACCTCACGTGCTTCAAACTTCCTGGTCCGAACAAACAAAGTTCTTTGGTAGGTGAATACTTGGGCTTGGCAATGATTGCCCGCACTTTGAAATTTCTGCAAATTGGAATCTCTTCCTATCCTTTACCAACTCTTCATGCAGTGTATCCCATGTTTCTCTCCGCTCATCAATTATTCCAACAGCACTCCCACCAGTGCAGAACTCCGTTGTTGCTACGCTTTGTAAGCAAAATTGTTCGGGGCTTGGAGAAGTCCTCGCCCATGTCAATTTTAAGGACCTCTCCGGGCTGAATTTTATCTACCTGAACAACCGGAGTGACATTAGAGCTCCCCGGTCTTGAACACTGCACGACACTAGGTTGTGAGCTTCCTGGACACTTAACTTCAAGGAAGAGACCCATGTCATGAAAGTCGAATATTTGACGCACGCCGTCCAAATGTGGCATGCTGAATTGAGCTGTTGATTGTTCTTTATGCATGTCAGATTTGGACGGCGTGTCGGAGGTTTGACTTTCATGATCTCTAATGTTATGGGCAGCAGCATCTTTCTGCCCATAAAAGAGGTCCGTAAAAGCTTGAGCCTCTGACAGTCTTTGTGTAGGTGAGTTTGTTCTGAAGGTTTGTCAGTCTCTTAAAAACTGCATACGAGAAACCACGTGCATTTGTACACACTCTTCTACTGCAGCTTCATCCTGGTACTTTGAGGCACTCTTCTGGGCTTCAGGCCTTGTTGGGACTGATTCTGATATCAGACCTGCATGTCCGATCTCACATGAAAACTTCGCAGGCGCTTTCTCCTGAGAACACAGTATCATTGAACCATGTTTGTTATCCGTCTTGACGTGTAATAAAGGAGAAACTGTCGGGATTGCCGCTACTGTGTATGTGTTTCTGCTTGTTGAAGTTGGCACAGGCGCTTTGAGTTTCCACGGCGACTGCTCATCTGATTAATGTTTAGGGTTGCCGCTAGCTGGGGAAGTGCTGGACACTGGAGACGGTATGCGATTGAGTGCTTCAAACTGAGCTGATTGCATTGCTAGTCCATCCCTCAAGATGTGTACTGCGTTAGCTGTTTCAAGTCTGTTCAAAGAATTATGGCTTGTACCCAGAATTGCTGCCCGAGAAAGCTGTCCAGGTTTGCTGATGTTAAAAGGCTTCTTTACAGCTGTGGCTACTGCGCCTGTCGTGTTCAGCCACTTGAGAGAAATGCGAGATAAGTTAGCAGTGGATTCGTAATTAGTCCTATACTTCCAGTGCGAGTGGGACGCTTTGCGAATCGCGTCCACTTTTCTTTCGAGAGTATGCGCTAGTTGTCTTAACGCGTTGGTAAAGTTATCAGCGTGTTCTTGCTGCTGAAAGTTGACAACAAGAGGCACTGTCCACAACGAGTAAAGCCCCTGGTGACATCCTTTAACCTAAAACTGTCCCTGGATGGTGATAAACTGATAACATAAGTAATATGCCAGTTTATTGTAGCTAATGTAGCGACTTTATAGTTGTAGATAGGGGTTTTCCTGGTAGAAGATGACAAGCTGCATCTCACAATGTAGGTGATAGCTCTACCATTGTTCAAGTTTTCCCTTTAGTCGGCCAGTATTACATGATTGGAAGTGTTGACCACCACGATTTCATAGCTGCGCAGGTGTCCGTTTATGTAACTTGTAAACAGTCCGTGTTAAAGCAGGCAGACAAGAGATATTGACTATGAATTTGTAAGTCAGTATTGCTGATCTAAATGCTGTGAGAGTTATTGCAGCTCTCTATATTCTTAACATCTTGCCTAGTCATTCTTTTAGATGGTGAGTCATCATTTGTACAGCTATGGGTTTCTAGCTGGCAAGTAGATTATGCTGCAGTAGCTAAGCAAACAAGCTAGACCACTGGACATTGTAGGCAGCTTTTGTCAACAGTTTTATACTTGAAATGTCTAGTTGCGTTTTTAATGTGGCTAAATTGGTTGAGAGCCTCTGTAGAGTATGTAGATGTTTAGACTTAAGCTGTATATATGCTGGGTGACTCGCGCTAGTGTACAGTCCTAGATGTTCTATGTCCGCCGCTGACTCTATAATACCATCTTGAAAGGAAAATGCAGGGAAGCACAGATGTTTGTCTGGAGGGCATCAGGCCTGTTTAAGCTCATTCAAGAACTTGCTAACATGTTTTAAGAATACAGTAGAGTATTGTTGTAGGATAAGAGTCAGGGCTTCCTCATGTTGTTGCTCAGTTCTAAAGTTAGTATTCTTCGTAATTAGTTGCAGGAGTCCTTGTAGATCTGTGAGTTTTGGCTCTAAAATACCATCATTGCTTGTAACACGAAAGGTTATTGTACGAAGCTCTTCATTATATTCCATGCAGACCGCGGAAACATTATCTTTGCCTTCTTTGCTGGATACCACAAGAGCAAAGTCGTCGAGGACGCTGTGCACAAGAAGAGGAGTAAGGCCATCTTGAGGTTCAACGTGGTGGTGGTCGTGAATGGCAGCTCTGACGGGGTCGCCTTGAGATCGCAGCTTGACGTCGAGGAGAATGGCGTTCTCGTGGAATGCCAGATAATCAGTTCCTTGCCAAACTTCCACAGGTATCATAATGCGAATGCGAGCGCGAAAGCATGGCCTGGGCGAACAGAGCACGGGAACTGCAAACGTGAAGTCCCATGAAGCGGAGGCTAGAAAGGCTAGGAGCCACCAAAGACGTGCTTGCGGAGGGCGGGGAAAATCTTGGCATTCTGTTGTCTGCCCCGAACGTAAAGGGACGACCTCGCCTGAATGAGCTGCGAACCACTTTCCCTCGAGCAAGGCGACAACACAAAGAAAGGCGATGTGGAGCGCAGGGATCTTCAACTATGCCACCCAATTCACGGCGGTACCCAGATATTGGCTGGCTCCCCGGGCTTATCGCGAGTTGAGGTTTGTTGACTAGGGTTGCTCCCGCCGGGTCTTAAGGACGGCCCGCCCACTTTTTGGCCACCAATGAACGTGGTTTGCAGAAAGATCGCTTCGAGCCACACTTTTGACGTTGCGGTTTCTAGCCGCCCGGGCCTTGCCCAGTCACGAGCATCGCGGTTTGGCGTTTCGCTATCGTATATAAGGCTGGAAGTCCCTCGAAATTCTCAGATGTTTTCAATACTTCAGACAGCTGTGCCAGGAGAAACATGCCTCAAGAAAACTCGTTCAATGTCTACATGGTCCAGTATCGCCTAGCCATACAAGATCCGGATATGCCACAACCAAGATATCACACTGTGGTCAGTGGGGTGCCCACCATTAAAATGATATGAACGCAAGTGTTGATAGATCTTCGTCGAGACAAAAGACGACAAAACTTTGCGGCATAATTCACCACGATGTTGGTGACTTGGTGACTGGGATGGCTTATCAGAAGAAGTCAGCGCTTCAGCCTGAGAATTCTCAGACCTTCCATGCAAAACAACTGCTGGGTAAGGTCAAGGAGAGCAAGGCCGCCCAGATTGAGCAGATCTGCACTCAACAGCCTGCTCCAGCAAAGCAGGAGAAGTTCAACCCAAAGACTATGAAGAACGAGCCGATCAAGGCGAACGGGGACTTCTATCAGCCTGGGGAACCACGTGCTAGGTTGATCAAATGTACTGAATGGACTGTTGAGCGCGCGATCCCAGCACTGCAGGCAGCAAAGATTCTTCAGTAGATCAGTTTCTTGCAGAGACTGAGGATTGGAAGGTCTCGTAGATGTCTACTCAATCAAAGCTAGATGAAAATTTCGTGGTAGATCGACATCAGTACGAGTGCCTCGACCGGATATGGGTCGAGAAAACTCTCAACCATCTGAGGCCAGTTGTCATCCCAGAGAAAGCTTGTATAACATGAGAAATACTCAAAGTAGTCAGGATACCAACCAGCATCCTCCCAGTCGATTAATGTGAGCTTGAAGTTGCTTTCGTCTCCATCCCCGGTACGCGTCCGGGTGACGATGATGTTCTTCTTTTGCATATCGCCATGTGTGAAGGTGGGTGGATGACTCGTAAGTAAGGAATGTAAGTGTTTCTGAAACCAGTCAACCCGAGCAGGGTGGCGATTATTGCCGGTCTGTACTTGGCGAAGTCTCTCCACTAAGCCTGAGCAAAAGTCCTTCTCGGTCGTGAAAGGGCCGTTTATTGATTTCTGTGGTTCTGGCGTCCAAAAGAGAAAATATGAGAGGGGTCCATAGCAAACGTTGCCATAGAACAGCGGGATTGGTCGTGGTAGTAACCTGATCTCGCGGAAAATGTTTCTTAGCTCTGTCAAAATGGACGCTCGTTCTTTCGCTTGAAGACTAGACCAGATACTCTCAAGACTCTGTCCCGCAACATACTGCATCAGTAGATAGACGACATTGTCTTCCTCGTGTATGGCGTATACCAATGGTAAAGGCGTTTCAAGGTTTCGATGTACGAAGATCATGTTGAGTCCTTCTTGAATTCGGCGGCTTGTCTGTGAACCATACTTGGCGATGAAATGGTGCCCGACCCTGACGACTCTGGCAGCGCCTTCTGCGAGTGTGCAAGTTGCGTTCCTGATATCTAAAGTGCTTGGTAAAGGAGCCGGCAGGATGGACGGATCGCAAAAGTAGGGTATAGGTGGAGCATCCCACATGGTAAATGGATCTGTGGTGGCGCAGGAGAAGATGCAGTTACGATATGTGATTGTGCAGCGCAAGCTGTGGCAGATGATTTCACCAACGGTAAGTTGGGAGCCCGCGTGAAGGAGATGAAAGTGCAAAGGTGATGGCAACTGAAGAACACAGCAGCCGTGCACGCGCATGATGTCATTCAACAGGCCTTGCGCTAGTGGCTAACCCAGGAATCATCACGTGACAAAGGACGGCTGGACAAGCCCCGACCATCCAAACCTCCACGTCTCAAACCACTTTTGCTTTATACATGAGTTGAGACCACTTCACGTACGAGGCTTCTGTGCACCATTGAAGGCTTGACTTGGCGACACTACCCTCGCCTCCTTAAACTATGTGCATCCCGCCGACTTTTGTTTAGATGATGTCCAACTTGACCGCCTAGCTACCATTCTGCAAGATTCCTCCCGTTCCTCCATCCATACCCGGCTGCCCACCACCAATAGGGAATATTCCCATGCCGCTGTAATTAGTCGAGTTTAGCCATGCTGAAACCTTTCAACAGTCGTACAGTTGCGGTGCAGAAGAGTGAGTCTGTCATCAACATAGCACGGGCGGTCACGGAATAATCCTTGTCATGCGCACGGGCCACAACGGAGTGAACTTCGCTGTGGCCCGTGCACGGGAAGATAAAGTTTAGGAAAGCGGCGATCAGCCGCTGCGGGCAGGGTCCTTTGCTCCACTAGCTTGGCAAGAGGGTGGTTCTCTGGTAGGCAATGGCGATCACCTCCTGTCTTTCCTGGCTGTTTGCTTGAAGGTATCTCGTCCGAGAAAAATCTGAGTTATTTCAAGATTATATCGGCCTTATTCAAGCTAGTAATCTCCCTGTTGCCTACTCTTTCGTGTGGCCTGATCCTCGCCAGCGCTGCTTTCTAGCTGTTTCATGCTAAGACTGCTGACCAATCTTGGTGAGAACAAAAGCGGTGCTGTTCTATTGAGTGCTGTATTCAGTGCTCCCTTCCGTCCAACTCTTCTTTGCGTGTCTGCGCTGTGTGATGATAGGTCCACCATGGCAATGCAATGGAGATGAGGAGCGCAGTAAGCGCACTGGCCAGGTTCCCACCATTTTGCATACGCTCTGGCAAAATCGCACATATTCCCCATAACGTCACGAAGGCCAGCATTGACGCTACTAGGACCAATGATGCGGCGACCATCCACTCTTTAGGATTTTTTGGTCGGCGCGTTTGGTAATGAATAAGATATCCCACTTTTGGCCACCCATGCCAATGCATTGCAGACTCAGTGCAATTGAAATTACTGCAAATTAGAATCAGCATCCTCTATTGAGTCAATGTCGAGACTGACTTACTGTATGAGTGTCTTCGGTACCATTGAGTCATGTCTGATTCCTGCCTTGAAAAGGCGACTGTGGCCATGGCCTTAGAGAAGACATCAGGTCGTTCAAAAGCCTGTGTCAACTCCGACATCCCCTGGAGGCCTCGATATCGATACGCGAGCCGTTCAAAATTGCAATAAACGCACTCGCAAGGCTCGTCGTCCCACGGTTCCTCCAAACTAGCTACTCGGGGACAGTCGCCGTCTCTGTCAAGTGGCCCCAGACTTTTCAGCGTCTTGCTAACTGCTACCAAATCTTCTCCAATTGGGCCAACTTGCAACAATTCGGCTGTGAAATGACGGTCATGCAGATAAGGAGCTGTGATTTCCACCTCTTTGATCCAAAGAGTTGTGAAGGGCCAGTAATGCACCCACAAGGGACCAAATTCTACCCACAAACGTCTCATCTGAGCAAAGAGTTGACCTAGTTTTGCACCATGCTTGAGCAGTGGCAAAGGCTCGACACGATAAGCGCCATCTTCTTCCCAGCAGACCAGCACAGCTTGATTCAATGGTCGCCCCGCTTCATGATCCAGGCGCTCCTGTCGCGCAGTATACAATGATCCGGTCCGCGCGTTTGGTTGCTTGCTTGTAGGATAGGCTTTATCACCCATTCTCGAAATGTTACAACATGTTTTGACATATTCTCCAAAGGTAGAGTGATCTCCAGGGCTTCGTTTCCGGCCTGAATCAGCCTTCCGTTTCTTCCGTGCAGTGTTGCCTTTATTCGTCAGCCAGCTCTGCCGCCAGCACTTGTCGCTTAACCAACACCGCCCAATCTGCCGGGGCCCATTCTCTAAGGTGTTTGCTGAAGAGAAGGATGACTGGCCGGGTTCCATTTCACATTGAAGGTTTGCGACCCTGTTGACAGCAAGGTGGGCCTGCTGTGGGGGAGCTATCACTGCTGGAGACATCTTCCTGGTAGACTGTATTAGCTTGCTGTACTATACCTGCGATCGACTCATAATATGGCGGAATGGACAGAAATACAGTAGAGGCTGATGTTGAGCCGATTATATTCCTCATCACTTGAATATTAGCGCCAGGCTGACGAATGACACTCGCTGCCAATTCAAGATGATGTTAGACTTTCATGCCGCCTCAACGCCATATACTGTACCTTGGCGGCGTTTAATCCGTTTCCTGTGAGGCGCACCAACAGATGACTGGCCAGCTTGAGCAGGCAGCAGCGACCATCAGTCGCACCTGGCTGAGGCTGTGCAAGGCGGAGCCGGCATTCGAGGCGCTAGCATCGACGATGCAGTATGAGCAATCCAGAAAAACTTGCCTACCAGGAAACGCACTCGATCGTGCACCGCTCGAGTATAGTTGATTGCAGTACTATAAAGGACATGGAACATCAGACTGTGCTTGCTGAGTTGAATGGTGAGGTATTTCTGAGCGCACAGCTCTGCTGCTGCTCGAAGTGCGTTGTCTGGGCTGCCTGTCGTACAGTTTCACAGTCGGCTCTCGAGATACAGAACATATGATGAGGGCGGACATGCCTTCAACCCGGAGATTCAGCAACAGTTTCGTGTGGTTGACATCACCAACCTATGGAAAAGCTTTACTGGGCTCCAAACATGGGTGTGGAAGTCAAGACGCGGCCGCATATCCTGAGACATGCACTAGCACCCATCATTTCACGTGGTGTACAAAGGTGGTCGATATGCGGCCGCATATCCTGAAACACGCACCAGCACCCATCATTTTATGTGGTATACGGAGGTGGTACGGCCGCACATACTGAAACACATGCTGCCATCATCGTTTTGCGAGGTGCGTACAGGCGGTCGAAGCGCGGCTGAATAATCTGAAACCTGGACAAGCGCATCCCTTGGCCAATGAAGCCAATTAATACACCTCGCAGAATAATGGCTACTAGCGTGTGTTTCAGGTTCGCGATGTCTCATGAAATCGTGGGAGGGGCTGCACAGCCACTTGCTATACACCTCGCAGAAATATAGCTACTAGCGCGTGTTTTAGGTTTACAATACCTCATGAAGTCATGGGAATGGCCGCACAGCCACTTTCTATACACCTCGCAGAATAATAGCTACTAGTGTGTGCTTTAGGTTCGCGATACCTCGCAAGATTATAGGTGTGGTTGCTTGAGCACATGCATGATCAGTCAAACCACACAATGTGATCTATCTTTCCTGCTAGGTATATAGAGGTGGTCACTACGCGGTCGCATATTCTAAAACGCAAGTATACTTGCTAATTGGTTGATAGAATTAACCACGCATTGTTCTGGTGTTTTGGGGGTTAGAGAGATGCCCATCACGACACTGGCATTTACTACTTGAACTACACTGGTGTACTAGTTTAGTTGTCTGAATAGGGTGTAGGCGGGATCAGAGGCTCACGGACTAGCGAGCAAGGAAGCTAGAACTAAGTATCAGACTAATGACTACACCATAAATCAGTCTTTAGGAAACTGCTGACTGCCTTTAAATGCCTATAGACAGCATTTAATGCTGCACCATCTTGCTATAGCACTGTGTGTCTCATCAGTTCTGCCCTAGGTCTGACTATAGATATACTTGTAACACTAGATCAGGTGCTAAGTCTGAACGCAAGCACGATCTAGATGACATGCTATTGGCAGAAAGGAATCACGAGCGTTGCGGCCCGACTCGTGCGGGTGCGCGCCGGCGCTAAGCTGGTCCTTCGGCAGATAATGTAGCTCCCGCGACATGAGGGTAGCATTCTCTGATGTCCAGTTAAACTCCTGTGGCTGAACCATCTCTAGGACAGTAAACATGAGAGTAAGCAACGCTGTTATTGTGCCTGTTGCTTGATGGAAAGGTTGACTTAATGCGTTAAAGTTTGACCCTTATTGAACCTTGACATGGACCAATGTACAATCGTGCTTCCACTAATGAGCCCGCCTTAATAACTACAGTACTGCTTATTGCCTTCTATTAGACAGGTTGTAGCTCTCCTATTGAAGATGGCATATAAATGTGTTAGACCTTAATCTTAACATGGGTATTGAGCAGTCTTTATGCCTTGGTCCTCTCACTATAAAATTGGCTGGCGAGGTCCGCCTTACCACTCCGCTTCTACCTTTAATCCCTAGAACGCTGACTATTGACTATGTTCGTGCATTATTTGGTAAGGGGTGATCGCTGGACAATGACAGCGCGATCAAAATCATGCCACAACATCTTGTTAGACCACACGTCCCACAAGATGTTTCGCATTACAACGTCGCTATGCAAGACACCCACTGAGTGAATCGCCTCTAATCTAGCTAGCGCTTGTTGCTGCTGACTATTAGTCATGGTAACAGGCTGCCGCAAGAGTGTAAAGAGGTTCAATGAATTGCTACTAAAGCTAAGCACTAGCATATATATAATCAGGACCGTGCTGAGATAATGAAATAGTCTAGGGACCTTGAATAATCTAAGGTAGACCAGGATATAGATGCCTTGTATAGCCTTGAGCTGTCTATAGATCTTGGCCTCTTGCTAAAGGTTAGTGATAAATTCAGGCTGGGTGCCTTTGGCCACCACAGTGTAGCCAGAGTCCAGAAGTTAGATACAGTAGAGAAAGCCCTTGTAACTATGGAAGAACAGCTCTTCCACGTGGTGTTGTTCACGAAGAACGCGGTATATCTAGCGTTAAAATTTGGCGGCGTTTATTGTGTGGTGCGTACAATATATGACCAAGTATAGATGTAGGTGGAGATTCGGATATGTGGTATCCAGTGGGAAGGCACTAATTAGACCCTGTAGGCATAACACTGTGTAGTACGGTCCTAAGTTAGGAGGTCTGGTCTGCTTGAGCGAAGTAAGCCGCTGCGAGATGTGATGGGAACTAGTCTAGTGCTTGTTGCCACCACGAGATCCCTTTAAGGTTCATGAAGGGGCAAGGATAGTTGACTGGCTGGATATGTTCTTAGTGTCTGCCTGTGCGCCGCTTAGACCCTGATCATCAGTGTCGTTATTATCATCACTATCCCTACTCGTTAGCTGCCCTCTTCCTTTACACTCTAGGGTGGAGTGTTAACGCTGTTAATAGAGTCGCTAATAGATTGGGGATTAAATTAACAAGCTGTCCTATTTGTAGACAGGAGGTTGGTAGTCTAATAATGGCATTTCACTCTCAAGAATGCTGTCTTCTACCGCTTCCACTAATACCTCCCACTACTTCAGCTAATTTTCTACTGAATGCTACTATTACTTACCACAGAGAGGGGACTAGGTTGCATTTAAGCTGAACGCTAATAGCTAGCCCACCACTGTCAGGTAAAGTTAATTTGCTTGCTCTAGGTTGGCTGTCCACCCTATTTCCAGCCTAATATCCCTGTGCAGCACCACCAGCATATACTCAACTATAGTGTAATCATCTTCCAGCACACACACAAAGATCATAGCAACCCCTGTAAAGACGCACCTATATTCTAAGCTAGCCTGGATTATGTAGGAGAATAATTGCATGATTACCGCCACCACTAACTACTAGCATTAGTGCTCTACATCCTCCTCCAGCTGTTTATGCATGATATTATCTAGGTCTATTGTTATTAACCCTATATTGATATAACCTAGCATTAACTTGTGTAGTGCCTTGAACTCTATGATATAGATTAGCACCCAGTATACATCTCTAGATGTCCCTGTAATACTATATACCATGAACTAATCCACCCTCAGCTATAGTGTCTTGTATGGTCTAGACAATAAGGAGCGCAAACTTGGCCTAAGCGTGTTGCGCTGTACTTATAGCTGTGGTGATTAGCAGTACAACATTAACCAACATAGGCCTTCAGTAGGTGGCTCAGGGCTCAGTATATTGCCATGATTATCAAAATATATTAAACCACATAGACCAAGTCGCTAATAGAGCTCTGTGTCGCGCGATACCTAATCTACTAGCAATATAACCAGTCCGTTAATAACAGTGTTGGTGAAAATATACAGGTCTAGCTCAGAGCCTAGTTGTTTACATTTTAACTACTTGCCTATCTCTTCTAGGGTATACATTAATGTAAAGAGTCGCTAATTAATAAAATCAGACTCTATCAAGATATCCTATATACAGGCCTAGTGGGTGGTAAAGCCATGCCAGGGCACAATATAGTTAGGTTAGAGCTTCTTATCAGTATTCGCAGGAGTGCCCGTGGTGGACTGGCTGGAATTGCTTTAAATGGTTAGACTGAGATAGAGGTGATTATAGTAGTAATGGAGGAACTCTGGGAAAGTTATATTACCCGTTCGACTTTCCACCTCTTCACATTATCACTGTTCTTCTTCGCGTTATCGCTGTTCTGTTGTAGCTCTCTTGTCCACCACCTCGCGTTGTTGCTGTTCCATTAATACTCTCTCTTCAGCCTCCTCTCGTAGTTGCTGTTCCTCCTTCTGCAGCCTTTGTGCTTCCTCAAGCGCTGTATAAAGTTCCTCTATGTCAAGCCTGTTGCGATCTTGAAAAAGTGTTCTTGTTGAGACGCCGTGTCACGCCTGCGACTTAGTGACGGCTACAGCCTAAATCACGGCTTGTTTACCGATGGCCAAATTAGGTTAGATCGTTGTCAATCGCGGGGTAAGCAGTTTCCTCCTGTCAGTCGTCAACTTCAAGCATTCAGAACCAGTTCATGTGCCGCGTGTATTCTAGCACCAGCGACGAACTTGATGTTTTGTGGGATCTGATGGAGGTGGGGATGCCTTTGACCCTGGGACACACCAACACTTTTACGTGGTCGACGTCTCTAACCAATGGAATAGCATATCCGGTTTCAGGTCATGCGGCTGTTCGGCGGCCTTTTTTAGAATCCTTCATTTAGCGCTGAGATGCAGCTCGCAGCTACAACACCACAGTAATATGTGGGTGGCAGCTCTTAGCAACAGCGTTCTACCCGACGCGAAGCGGTTCTCCTCAGCCACAACACCATCGGAACCAGTGGGTGGTAGCTCTGAGCCACAACACCACGCTGACCGATGGGTGGCAGCTTTTTGTTTCAAGTTGCGCACATCGTACTGCAAGTCGACTATGGGGCTCTGATTATGGACATCGAACCACCGAGGATGCAGCTCGGCTGACAGATGAACAGTGCAGGCTCATCATTGAAATATTCAACGAGTTCGAGGGGCTGTCGGATCGACAGACACAAAGCGTGGGACCTATCTTGGACACCATTCTTCGTGTAACGTTGAGGGGTGCTGTCAGAGTTGTTCAATACCTCTTTAACCATGCTCAAGTTCAGGATCAGTTCGAACAGATCCTAAGTGCTCCTGAACTAACAGCTGGATACATCTACTTAAGAGAGCGAGACACAGAAAGTGAAGACTAATGCTTCTCTTGTCATCTTAAGATATACGTCCTTGTTTTAAGCGCACATCGCGGGACGTGTGCTTGGTGATCAAGGTCTGCTGTTTTCAGACTGGTGCATTTGCTACCGTCTTCTTAAGGACAGGCATCATGGCCTGAAGATCGCGATCGAAAAGCGACAGGAACTGCGGCTCCCAGGGAGGCTTGCAGGGTGAGCTGTCCAGAATTGCCAAATCTAGACCTACCACCGTCGAAGTCGTGATCCCGGCTGGGCCGCCGGGTTAGGACCATGTTCCTTTGTTGCGCTCCGTTAAAAGTTCCGACGGTGGAAGAGGCGAGCATACAACCCGCGAGCAATTTTCTGCAAGGAAAGACTTAGATGAGCCCCTGGCCGATGACGCTACATGCCTCTTGAACCGCTCCACTCGGTCCTCGCGGCGTATGAGGAGGTCGAAGAAGATGCAGGTCGACATGGCAACAAGTTCAAGCAGGAGGGGCCGGAAACTTCCAGAGGCCTCTGAAGCCTTCGTCCGCAGGAGGAACGCGATTTCTGAAATGCATGCCCGTATCCAAGAACGGCGCAAGTCACAGCTGAAGAACGCTGTAGTATCGTCTAGGTAGATCACTGTCGCACTCGTGTTTGCACTGCGATAACTGTGCAGGTAGTCCTTAGTATGGAATCGATTGATTCGGCGTTTTTTTTTCATAGATTCGCCACTGCGTCGCCGACGACGGCCTTGTGGTCGAGTGTCCTGTCGTCAAGCCTTGTCACCTGAGCGAATGATTGTAGAGTTCCGTTGGGCTATCTCACGATACATCAATCCTGCTCAATGAAATAGTGAAGATGACAATCACTCAGTGCTGTATCTGGGGCTTGTTCGCTGGAGGTAGAAAAAGCTGGCCCTTGAGGACGGCCCTCTGACCCTGACGCACACCACAACAGTCTGCGGTTGAGTTCATTGACAAATCAGCAAGGATTGGTGTTTCAGCATGTGCGACCGTAAGGCGACCTCCTCAACAACACCTCATAGAATGATGGGGGAGACAGATCACGTGACGGTAGGAAGACCATCTCTAGATACCTCACAGAACCGTGGGTGGAAGCTTATATCGTGATTGGTTCGGTGATCTAGTCATTGGACGGGTGACGATAAGCTCCTCCCACAGTATTGCGAGGTATACAGAAGATGGCTTGCCTTTGATCGCATGATCTGAAACACAAGGTAGCAGGATGATTGGCTGACATGTTCACCCACGAGTTTTCATGGTGCTTTCAGGACTAGAGAAATCCCCCCTCTTGCTTGGTGATTTTCAACCTCAAGATTGCTATACTCTTAAGTATTACGTGCAAGACTATCCGTCCCGCTGTCTGTATGGTCAATGACTTCAGACAGCCAGTCGATCGCCAAAAGAGACCGAACTTGGTGGTGCTTCCGCGATGTACACCACCCTGGGTCAGTCCAGACTTCATGAGGTCTAGGGGCTGTCTGTGCGGTCTTTGCTGAAGTGGAGTGCGAAGATAGCCGTCCGAGACCCAGTGGGCACGCCCGAACCAACAACACGTGACGAGGCTCAGGCAGCTTAAAATTTAGCCTGGGGCTGCGTTGGGTCTGCTGTGCCCGAGCATGATTGGATCGTTTGTCTATCAACGAGGCACAGACCACTCAACCTTCTCCATATTCGCCTCACACTGGCTTGTTCAACAGCAGCGACTTCTACTCCTGCCAAAGTGCACAGTCTAGTTAGCCCATGCATACACCAGCCAATCTTGGGAAGCCGTATTTCTCCGAACTCTTTGCGGCGAAACTAGTGTGAAAAGCATCAACTGGAATCAACTTGACGCTAACGGTAGTCGAGGGATCTGCGACAGGCCATCGTGGCGTCAAGCTGCTACACCTGCAGCTTTGTTGGACAAGCATATTTTGCAACCTCAGACTGGTTCAAAAGGGCTGCGATTGATGTTGGACATGCTCTTCTCTGACTGAATCTCATCGTGGGAGGTAAAGGATGCGTGACAGGCCTCCTCTGTAACGGTACTGCCAATGTGATCGAGGGGCGACTGCCGTGTGGAAGCCGACCACCGACCGCGAATTGGCTACGCCGCCATAACCGGGGACGGCCCAAACACGAAGAGAAGATACGTCAGCTAATGTTCGCCGCCTCTGTTGCTGGGCTGCGTGCTGAAAAGTCCACACAG